TGATGTTTTTCCAGGCCATGAGCAGGGAGCTGAATCAGAAGTGGAACACCAGGACTCAAATAGGTGCTCATATGGGAGGTCAGCATCACAGGTGGTAGCTTTACCTTCTAAGCCACAATGCTGGGCCCTCCCAGGCTGTTGTAATGCCAGTAGCACCTTAGCTAAACTTTGAGAAACAAGTGCTATAAGGGCTCACTTCTGTGCTTTCCTACAGCCTGACCCAGCTGGGGCTGTGAAGACATCCAGCAGGACACTTAGCAGGCATATCCTGGAGAGAAAACTCACACAGAGAAAGGAAGTCCTTGCATAGATGCCTGAAGCATTGTTATTGTTGTGAAGTGAATATACCTAAGAAAACAGGAGAAATAGCTCCAGTCTTCAGAGGAAAGATCAAAAAGCTTTAGAATAAACTGAAGGGAGAAAAATTCCAAATTGAACCATTGAATTCCTTCACATCTTTGAAGGAATTAAATAGACAAGTGAATCGATCTTCTGTTTTTACTAATGTCTGGAGAAAGCGAAGTAGACTTTTGATGTTGCATGAAATCTTTAGAAAAAAAATCCCAGCACAAGCACCCTTCCCTCCGTGGGTTATGAGATGTTGGGAAGTCCAAGTCAGAGAATCTTCAACACTGAGTCTCCCAGTGGGTGTGATTAGAAGCTGGGCCAGGTAACTCCTAGAATTTTTCACTCTAAACTTTTGTCTGTGGATTTCTTTCCCTACATCTTTTTAAGTCAGAACCAACACTTCATTTCAATATTTAATTCCATAATTTATGTTTTCTGTAAACATATCTTTGATGAGCAACGTGGTGCTGTTTTTAAAAATTTAATTGCTCTGGATGCTGTGGAGCCCTAATTAACTGAGGAAGGCTGTCAAGGAGTGGCAGCATTGTTAGCAGGTCCTTTGCATTTATGCAGTGCCAGCACAGGACTCCAGACTACCTGGGTTAGGAAAACAGGTTTGATTTTTCCTAATTGCATGACAAGAAAGTTCCCTGAATACTTTGCAAAGACTAGATAAAAGAAAATTTAAGCAATAAACCCATAACCCAATATAAAACGAAAGCTCTTCTAGAAAAATATAGAAAGCCTATGCTTTGGCTATGATTAACAGGGTTCTCAATGCCCTGCCTCCTGCTGCCTCATACACACCTGCCCACACTGATGAGCCAATGGAAACTGGAGTGTTGTTGAGCACTTTGATAAAGAGACTCTTACCTAAAACTTCGTATAAAAGATTAGAAGCAAGCAAGCATGTCGATAAAATGCTTTATCGAACAAAACTGGCTTCTGCATTGAGAAAAGAGCCATTGCTGCTCAGCTATTTATCCTATGGAATAGGAGGTGGCCAAAGCGAGAATAAGAGCTACAGAGAAGTATTTGTCATATGCGGCAGACAGAAAGTCTGACAGTGAGGAATTCTGGAGATTGCAGTATTCACTCCTCTCACATTAGATGAGTCAAGTCAGGCCCAGAGAAGGAAATTGATTTGCTCAAGGTCATACTGTTCTTCACCACAGAGCACAGTTTAATGTGGTTGGTTAGAAGCAATGCTTGATGTCAACAGTTAATCCCACAACCTGTGTGGAATTGCGCCTTCGTCTGACCCCTGGATTTGAAGGAACTTACAATTGTCTTAACTGTTTCCACCAACTCATTAATTTTGCTGTAATACAGAACTGGATACAGGGGATTTCCCCACCCCCCCAATATCAGTACAAAAATCATGTCCTACCCTCCAGTATTTTGATCAGTAGGGTTGGGCTACAGCTCAGGAATTGTTATTTTCTAGTGTACTAGGTGATGGTGATGCAGGCGTCTTGGCCCACAGAGACCCACTGAGGGTGCCATCACCTGTTGGGTGTAGATGTGTTTGTTAGGAGCTCAGGTGAGCTGAGACAGAGGGCACAGAATCATCAGTTGCTGGAGCAGCCTTTAATCACTGCTATGGTATCAGCCAGAATCTTAACCACCAAGTAGGCCCATTCCCTTCTCCTGCTTGGAAGGGTGCACCTGTTGGTTGGCCCAGCCAACCCCTGACAATGGGGTCATCTCACTGTTCAGGGAGCCCTGAACAAAAGGGCTCTGGCAGGTTCACTTACCCCTGAGGTATGTGTTGGAGGGTGTATGGGGAGGGGAGCAGGCGAAAAGTCCTGGTATCATCTCACTTAGAGTGGGGGAAAGTGTTTTCAAGGTTTCGCTCTCCATTCCCAGTAAGGATGCCTCTGCCCAGACCTCAGACTAAGAACCGTGGGAATAAAGGTACTCACCCACTCTCTGGAGCTGGGGACATGACTGTGCAAAGAGCACGATGGGTCTGGGCAGGCATTGAGCCTTGGCTGCCGTCCCCTTGGAGGCTCCTGGGCTGTGCCCTGAGTCTGATGCCTTTGTAATTGTGGCCAGGCCTGGGAAACCACACATAGCCTTTCACCAGGAGGCAGCCTCCCCTGTGTTTGGGAGTGTACACTGCCTTTTTCTTGTCACCAGGGGACTTTTTAACCAGTACATTATGGGCTCTGGAGAGAGAAGGCAGCCAATTGTGCCATATTCCCCTGATGATTGTTGTACAGCCTAGTGTAACACTTGAGCCTCAAGGAGTTAACATGGGCATCTGATGCTTGACTGGCTTGATGGAAGCAATGCAGGTCTCAAAGCCAACCAAGAATCTGATTAATAACTAACAGCAGTCCGTTTTTAAATGGTACTCGGGGCTAGTTAACACTTAGGCACATCCAATCAGCCACCAGCCACTATTTCCTGGGCACATCCCCTTGTGCCTGGCATTCCTCCAGGTGCATGGTGCATGTTAGAGAATAAGATGGTTGAAGATTTCACCCCTTGTCACGTCCACATTCTAGCATGGGAGCCGAACATCAATAATACACAAAATAAATGAGTTGCCCAATATGGTGAAATGTGATATGCACTTTGACAGAAGAAAAAGTATAGCAGGAGAAGAGGGCTCAGGCACATGTGGGGAGAGTTGAATGTTAAATAGGATGATGAAGGAAACCTTGTCATATTACAGTAAATCCAACAACTCACTGATATCCAATTTATATTGATATTGCTGCTAAAATAATCTTACCAAGATTTCTGAATTTTAGTATTCCCTTGCTTAAAAATCTTCCATGATTCCCAAAGGTTACAGAATACTTTTCCTGGTGTTCAAGGTCCTCATCACTCAGAATTGTTCACTGCCTCTTCCTGCTCCAGCAATCCAGATAATCTGGTCTCCCTCCACACTGCCCCACCTTTGTACTGTTGCTCTACTTGCCTCGTACCCTCTTCTCTATCTGCCTTTCCTGAACATTCTACTCACCCTCAGAACTCAATTCACACATTTCTTATAAGCAAAACCTTCCAGCTTTTTCAAGTCCATGGAAATGCTTCCTCCAATAACACCCAATCCACTGAGGTTTGAACACAGCATTCAACAGAGACAGTTAGAAAAGACTTAGTGGGAAGGTAGACAATGGGTTTGAAAACACAGTGTGGTGGGGGAGTAGGTCTCATGTTGTTTGTGTAATAGGGCAACAATAGTCCACAACAATTAATTGCACATTTTAGAACAACTAGAGAAGAGTTGGAAGGTTCCCAACATAAAGCAATGATAATATTTGAAGAGATAGAAATGCTAATGACCTTGATTTGGTCACTGGACATTGTATACCCATATCAAATTACAAATACTGTTCTCTATAAGCAAGTACAAACATGATACATCGATTCAAAACAAAATGCTTAATTCTTTTACTGGATTGTAAGCTTCTTCAGGACAAGAACCACCTCCTTGAATATCTCCACAGTGTTCAGTGTAGGTTTCAAGAGCAATACCATGGAGCTAAGAGTTTCTTGACACATTAACTGTGAGGGGACTGGTTCCAGATCCTCCTGTGCATACAAAAACCCATGGATGCTCAAGTCCCCTTTAAAAATGAGACAGTATTTGCATTTAACCTACATGATGCTCTTGTAAACTTCAAATCATCTCTAGATTACTTATAATACCTAAATATTGTATTGTATTGTATTGGGGAATAATGGCAAGAAAAAAATCTGTACATATCAGTACAGATGCATTTTTAAAAAGAAATTTAAAAATAAAACAAAAAATCAAGAATTAAAAAATATTTTCAATGTGCAATTAGTTGACTCCCCAAATGCAGAGCCCGTGGGTACCAACAGCAACTGCATAAAAAAAAAGGCAAACCATACTTAAGAGTAGATAGGCGCTGCGGCTCACTAGGCTAATCCTCTGCCTTGCGGCGCTGGCATACCGGGTTCTAGTTCCGGTCGGGGCGCCGGATTCTGTCCCGGTTGCCCCTCTTCCTGTCCAGCTCTCTGCTGTGGCCAGGGAGTGCAGTGGAGGATGGCCCAAGGACTTGGGCCCTGCACCCCATGGGAGACCAGGATAAGCACCTGGCTCCTGCCACTGGATCAGCGCGGTGCGCCGGCCGCGGCGGCCATTGGAGGGTGAACCAATGGCAAAGGAAGACCTTTCTCTCTCTCTCTCTCTCACTATCCACTCTGCCTGTCAAAAAAAAAAAAAAAAGAGTAGATAGGCAACATAGGTCCTCAAAATCTGATTCTTTCTAAGAAGAAAGTTCAGGCCTTATCTGTGGGTTCACAATGATAAAATGCTGAGACTATTAATCGGCAACATAAGACTGGAAGGCACAAAGGAAGTACTGTCATTTAAAATTTTTGTTCCCGTTAAATGTAAGAAATCAGAAAGCTGGGACAAGATTTTATGCTACGATAGTGCTGAAGTCTTCATTTTAATCACAGTTAAGAGCTTAACTTTTGTGTTAGGGAGAGAAGTCTTGGGTACTGCATTTTGAGTTTTGAATGAAAAGACATTCTGATAGTAACTGACACTAGAATAATTTAAGCACAGTTGCAAAAGGCTCTTCACGGTGCCTGATTGGAAGTGCTGCTTTTTAGCCAACTTTCATTTTGTTCTTGAAAGATACTTTGGGTCTCTTCCCTTCCAGCCCAAATCTCACCTGGCGAGACATGCAGCACCTGGTTGTCTGGACCTCTGAGTATGACCCATTAGCCAATAATCCGGGCTGGAAAAAGAATGGGGCAGGCCTGATGGTGAACAGTCGATTTGGATTCGGCTTGCTGAATGCCAAAGCTCTGGTGGATCTGGCCGACCCCAGGACCTGGAGGAGCGTGCCAGAGAAGAAGGAGTGTGTGGTAAAGGACAACGACTTTGAGCCCAGGTATGTGTCTCCAGGCGTCTTCCACAAATGTGTGCCCATGGCCCAACGTCATGACGATGTGTGTCATTCTTCCCGATGCTTTGTCTCACCTTCTCCGAAGTCAAGGGCTATTTCACCTTCTCCGAAGTCAAGGGCTATTTGCCAGTGTTTTCTGGGGGTCCCCCAGAGGCTCACTGAGAAAACAAAGATTGCTAAATCATCTGAGCCTAGGAGCGTCCTTCAAAAATTAATGGAAAATGGAATTAAAGCTAAGTTTATTTTAATGCAAAACAAAACCCCAAGTCCATGCAAAGTCTTTTCCTTAATCTTCATTCTCCATGAATTTCTCAGAGGTCTCTCATATTTTTTATTTTCCTCTTGCAGTCCACCTAGCCCAAGAAAATCTAAGCTGCACCCTTGTTTTCTATACCAAAACAAAATGAAACGAAACACCGTCAAATTATGCCCAGTCAACCATCATTCTGAGATTCATTGTAAATTCAGGGATGCTAAACTATTTTTCAAAACGCCACTTAGGATTGATGAAATTCAGGACTTGCCAACCAGATTCCCCAGTCCACCGCCAAAACAGCCTCACTTCATGCTGCAGAGCTATGTGCTTGCCAGCCTTCCCTCCACAAAGGAGGCTTTGTCACACAGCTTTTGCAGAAACCACCTCTGCTACTCCACGTCAGCCCTCCACGCAGAGTCTGCTTGCTCTGAGTGTTTTGTTATCTTCAAGGCAGTTATGATAACATTGAAGACTCAGCACATGAAGTACCCACATTAGGAGGATTAGGGGTATGCCTTAGGAAAGCCTTACAGATGAAAGTTTTTCTTTGGCAGGTCTCTTTTTTGATGGGTCCAAGACAAACCTGCCCGAACGCCATTCCATAGCAGACAGCATTGTATTTAAGTGCTGGTTTCAAATGCACTAACATTGATGTATAGCTAACCTAGCACTGGGTTCTCTTCATAACAGAGAGTGGCAACATCTAATCCAGACTGCTGTGTAGCACCCGTGCAGGATATTGCAAATATAAAAGAAATGCACTTTTTTCAATAGTGATCCTTTAATGTATCTAGAGCCCTGAAAGCTAACGGAGAAGTTATCATTGAAATCCCAACGAGAGCTTGTGAAGGCCAAGAGAACGCCATCGAGTCCCTGGAGCACGTGCAGTTTGAAGCAACAATTGAATATTCCCGCAGGGGGGACCTGCACGTCACACTGACTTCTGCTGCTGGTAACGTTTCCAAAAATTCTTCTCAGCCATCGGCGCCAAGTGTCAAGCATCAGTCGAGCGATTTCACATCAGTGATTGTTTTTTTCATAGCGCTAAAGTTTCCTAATATTTTCAAGTCTAAACACCCATGCTTGTTTTTCTTGGTGTGAAATCTGCCTCCCTGCTGGCCTTTCCCCCTAGCCCTTGGATGAGCAGAGAAAGAAGCCTATTAAGAAAATTAGCCAATTAGTGAACCTTGAGGAAGGTTTTCAGACTGTGTTCCCTGGCCCGGACTACTGATCTATCATTCCGTTCTCTTATGTAATGCATTAGTCAAAGTTACGCTGATCATTAATGAAGCTTGCAGATATAGCTGAAACATCCGGAGGCTCGACTGAAACACTGGACTCCTGACCCATGAAAGGAGCTGGAAGAGTCTGGCAGTATTTCCGTGGTGATAGGAGTAAGGCCACGGGATACGGGGTGTGCTCTTTTCTGAGAGGAGATAGTGGAGAGGAAAGGGCTTGTGATTCATCAAGTGGAATCCAGCGGGAGGACCCGTGTCACTACTCTTCCGTGTTCCTCTGGGACTCCACTGACTGACTCAGTTTCCCTGGGGATGGATGAGGAGAGGTGAGCTGTCTCTAGTGGAGTAGACTCCGTTAATTTTGGAGCTACACCCTCTTGAGGTCTTGGAATTCACCTGAAATATCAGTGGGATGCTTTTTATTTTTTCCATCATGGATCTACAGTTCATTTAGCCCCTTTATCTAGAAAGAAATGCTGTTTATTTATCTGTAGAGAGCCTGAACTTGAAAATTTAGAATTACTCTTCTTACTAGTTTTTATATGACAAGAGATTAGAAAACTGTGCATCTAATAATAAATTAATTCATTGATTAATGATTCTTAATGATAAATACTAAATTAATTTTTATGTCTACATTATAGACTCAGACACCTGTTACATTTTCAAGATTTCTTTTTACATTTCAAAATTATATTTCTGCTAAATATATTTTGGTTCTCTGGCTCTCTTCTTTAATCAAATTTGTAAATTTATTTCTCTAAGTACTCCTTATTCAAATAAACCTTAGCCAACATGATAATTCATTTTTTTACAATATTTAATAAGAACTTACTCTATGGCAGGTAATTTGGTAAGTACGCTGGACAAAATCATCATTATTTTCGCATGAATGCCTGTATCCTGGCATTATACTAAAAGGGAAAATTAGGAGGACAGGTCTCTCCCAGCTCTCATGCATAGTCCCCAGCTGCAGGAGTGCGTCCTACTTGCAGAGCTGTTCGGACATCCACTAACTTGTGTTTATTGCATGAAAACAGGAACCAGCACGGTACTGCTGGCTGAGCGAGAGCGGGATACATCTCCTAATGGCTTTAAGAACTGGGACTTCATGTCTGTTCACACCTGGGGAGAGAACCCCACAGGCACGTGGACTCTGCGAATTGCAGACATGGTACGTAGAAGCAAGGAGATGAAGACCAACAAGCTCACTTTTAAGGCTGATATCATCATCATTAGTACCCTGAACTTAACCACCATTAGTAGGAGTGAGCAAAATGTGTAGTGAGTGGGTGGAGCCCTGCCCACATGATTACGTGAGAGCATTTCAAAAAGTTTGTGAAAAAATGGGATTGATAGATAAACTTACTTTGGTGCAGGAGAAAAAAATTGAGGGAATCGTATATAAAAATTTCATGGAAAATGCATATTTTGAAAAAAACTGCATAGATTTCAACATTTTTTTCTGCACCAAAATGAAGTTATCTTTTTGTTTCAATTCCCAAGAACTTTTTGAAGTATCCTAGAAGTACAGTCATTGAGAAAGAAGATTAGGCCCTAAGACAACAGGAAAGAAAAGATACAGGCAGGCTAGAGGACCAATCAGGAGGCCCCACGTCTGAATACAGCCTACCACATACCTCATTCATAAATATGAACCAATCAGATTCCCAAAGGTAGCCAACTGCTCAGGCCAGCTTTGCTGTGATCCTCTGCGAGTCATGTGAAAGCTCTCCTAAGTTATTGTGAAGTTACTATTTAGAAATATCCTCATGGGGCCAGCACTGTAGCTCAGTGAGCTCCCTGCTGCTCTGCTTCCAATCCAGCTCCCTGCTAATGCACCTAGGAAAGCAGTAGAAGATGGGTCAAGTACTCTGGCCCCTGCCACCCATGTGGGAGACCTGGATACGGTTCTAGGCTTCTGACTTCAGCCTGGCCCAGCCCTAGCTGTTGCAGCCATTTGGGGAGTGAATCAGCAGATGGAAGATCCCCACCCTCCATCCTTCTGCTTCTTCCTTCCAAATAAATAAAAATAAGTCTTTAAAAAATAGTTTCACATTAGGCATGATATCTTATGTAATATGACTTTCTGTCCCTGCTGCCACCCCCACCCCTGTTTCGGTCATTAACAAATTGAAAAGCGTTTTTCATTTCCCTTTCAGTCTGCTTGCCCTCTTTGACACTTCTCTGTAATTTAAAATGTTTATTTTATTTAAAAGCCAAAGAGAGAGAGAGAGAGAGATATCTCCCATCTACTGGCTTATTCCACAAATGCCTGCAACACACTGTGGCTGGACCAGTCTGGATTCAGGAGCTGGGAATACCCTCCAGTCTCTATGTGGGTGGCAGGAACCCAAGAACATGGGCCATCCCCTGCTGCCTCCCAGGGTCTACATTCATGGGAAGCCGGAATCAGGAGCAGAGCTGAGACAGAACCCAGACCCAGGATGAAGCAGGATGTGGGTGTCCCAAGCGGTGTCTTCACTGCTGTGCCGCACATCTGCTCCCATTCTCTGTAACCTTAGTGTACAGTTACAAAATGGCAGGGCAGAACAACAGTGTCCAACCACAAAGCCAAACAGAGATTTATTTTGGCACCATTTCTCCGACATTCTCTCTAGGCAAGAGTATAAATGAATGGTGTGTCAGCTCTGAGCTCACCTGAAAGGGGAGCTCATTAAGTATTATGATTTCCGTGCCTGCATATTTCCTTAAAAATGAATTTTTTTTTTGACAGGGAGAGTTAGACAGTGAGAGAGAGAGAGACAGAGAGAAAGGTCTTCCTTCTGTTGGTTCACCCCTCAAATGGTGGCTATGGCCGGCGTGTTATGCCAATCAGAAGCCAGGAGCCAGGTGCTTCCTCCTGGTCTCCCATGCAGGTGCAGGGCCCATGCACTTGGGCCATCCTCCACTGCACTCCCTGGCCACAGCAGAGAGCTGTACTGGAAGAGGAGCAACCGGGACTAGAACCCAGGGTGCCAGCGCCGCAAAATTCCTGAAGATGTCAGTGAAATTCATACAAATGCTGTCGTCATTTTTACTTGTTTTTCTCTTAGAATAACCTTCTCCTGAACACTGCTAAAGTGATTTAGAACTAGGACGTTGTAAAAAGTCCTGCTTAGGTAGGGAAAGTAAGAAAATGTTCTTGAACTTGGCCTCTACTTTAATTCAATTGTACCATCAGCAAACTGCCGGAATGGAACGATTTTACATCAAATCTGCAAAATCTGACTCTACAGTTTTAGATCTCTTTTATGACCATTTTAGATTTCAGCGCATTATTTGTGACATAATTATTGAGTCTGAAAATGATTACTCTTCCCATAAATATATAATTTTGAAGAGCTGATTGATGATGAAGGCTGTTCACAATCCCACTACATGGAGGCTGATTTTTTTCCCAGCATAATGTTCCCATAAATTGGTAACTGGGAAATGGGAGGTATGGTCCACTTTTCAGGAATACTTACAATATAGAAAATAAGATTTATAGGGAGAGTTCTGCTTTTTAAACTACATGCTTCATCATGAAGCAGCAAGTCTTTGAATTGTTAGACCTACATAAGCTGTCATTTTTATAGTGTGAATGAATCCAGGGATTTTATTTTTAACCTAGAGCTCTGCACATGGAATATAGACTCTTAAAATTAGATTTTTGGGGCTGGCACTGTGGTACAACAGGTTGAGCCTCTGCTTGAGATGTTGGCATCCCTTATTGGAGTGCCAGTTCATGTCCTGCCTACTCCTTTTTTGCTGATACATCTGGGAAGGCAGAGGATGGTGGCCCAAGTACTTGCATCCTTGCCACCCATGTGGGAGACCTGGATGGAATTCTGGGCTCCTGGTTTCAGCTTGGCCTAATCCCCACCTGTTGCTGGTATTTAAGGAGTGAACCAGCAGCTGGAAGATATCTCTCTCTCTCTCTCTCTCTCTCTCTCTCTCTCTCTCTCTCATTGCCTCTTCTTCTCTGTCACTCTGCCTTTCAAACAAATCTTTGAAACATTAGATTTTCACTAGCAAGTCCTCCTTAGATGTTTTGAATGAGTGTACTTTGTATTTTTCAAACAGACACTAAGACACACGTGTGCTTATTCCCCAGTCCGGGAGGATGCAGAATGAAGGACGAATTGTGAACTGGAAGCTGATTCTGCACGGGACCTCTTCCCAGCCTGAGCACATGAAACAGCCCCGTGTCTACACGTCCTACAACACGGTCCAGAACGACAGGAGAGGGGTGGAGAGGATGGCGGATGCTCGCGAGGTCTGTGTGGCTCACTTCTTGGCATGCGCTCTGGGGGACTGCAGGGGACAATGTGGCGTGTGAGGCTGTGCCTCGTGCCTGGGCAGAGCATGAGGAAGACACAGCTGGGGAAGAAAGGGGATGGGCGTGGGAAACTGAGCCCCCTGCCCCACCTCCACCACTAGATAAAACCTGATGGTTGTCATTTGCTCTTTTGTCCAGAATTTGTAAATTAAAATTGACGAATGCAAAATGGTTAACTTCCCTAACATGAATTTTCTCCATTTATGATAGCCAATCACAAAGAAAGCAGTCTTTAGTCAGGATCACAACCACCTAACACTTGTACTGCATTGAGTTTTTAAGCATTGCTCACAGCGCTGCTGTCATCCCTACAACCTGGGAAGGACAGACATCAGTGTGTCCATTTTGCAGAGGGAAACCCAAGGCTCAGGCGGCCCAATCGTGTAGGCTGCTCTTTACTGATCTCAGTTTGGAAATGGGCTTGATTGGCAACAGCAAGGCAGAGACAGAACCACAGGTGCTCTTGGCAAGTTTCAGAGGGCAGTTACAGCGAGGCGTTGCTGGGCCTGGTCTCAGCCTCCCGGGGCTGCTGGCTTCTCTCCCAGCAGGTGGTGGGCACAGACCATGGCCTCTTCATCCTCAGTGTCCTGCACACAGCCTCCAACGTGGTGGGCAGCTGTCTAGAATTTCCCCTATTGACCTGCCCTCAGTAGATGTGGCTTTGCACTGGTTGTTTGGGAAGATGCAGGGATGTAGTATTTACTCAGGAGACAGCAACCAGCAGGGTGAAGGCCCCAACTTGGAACCTGACCCCTTTGTATGCTGCAAGGCAACTTCCCGTTAGGCCCTGAGTCCCAGGGGCCTCTTCTGCACAGTCCCAGAAGCAGATTAAGCTTGTGTTTCTTCCTCTGAGGTTCTTACAGGAATATGTATATGTGCATGTGTGTGTGTCTGTGTGTGTTTGTGTGTGTATAAACTGGACTCTTCAGTCACTAAAATATTGAAATATAGTCAGCCACACCTGTCTGCACATGCCACATCTGCAGAGTTACCAAACTGTGGTTCAAAAATATTTAAAAAAAAATTGCATCTGCCCTGAACATACTTAGAGTAAGGCAGTATCACAACTCTTTGTGGAGCATTTACATTGTATTGGGCATTCTAAGTAGTCTAGAGCTGATTTAAAGTGTCTGGGAGGATGCATGTCAGTTGTATGTAGAAACTGTGCCATTGTATGTAAGGTATTTGAGGAGTGAACCAGCACTTTTTCTGATCTCTCTAGTTCCTTCCTAGCTGGCCCACTTCAGTCTCTCCCCCGGCCCTTCCCCCTGCACAATGTAGAACAGGATGGCCCCTGCTGAGCAGGTGGCTTCCAAAAGACTGTGCCTATGCTACAGCAATTGCTTTGTGCCTTCCCAATGAGGAGTTAAGTGTTTAGCATCATCTTCCCCAAATGGCAGTCTAGCACATGAAGGAAACGAACACGTACTGAGCATGGACCCATGGTAGCACAGCCTTCACCACCACTGCAAACGGAGATATCTCATCCCTGGTTTACAAGCAGAGTTCAGGGAGATCAAAAAGGTTGCCAAGGGTACCTCAGTATGAAAACCTGAGGGTTGGCCCCGAGTCGGTGTGCGTCCTCCAAGCCTATATTATCCCTGTCCCCACGTTGCTTCCCAAAGGACAGGTGCAGGCCTGTACTAGGGCTGACTATGGCTTTCTGGATGCGAATAACAAGTCTTCTTCCCCTTGTTGGTGGTGTTCTGTGTTTCAGGAGCAGCCCACCCAGGAGAACCCTAAGGCCAAGTCCCTGGTGTCCAACAGCCCCAGCAACATCAGTGTGGGAGGCAGAAAGAATGAAGTGGCCGAGGGAGCCCCTTCCCAGGCCATGTTGCGACTCCTACAGAGCGCTTTCAGCAAAAACTTGCCTCCAAAGCCATCGCCAAAGAAATCCCCAAGTGCAAAGCTTGACATTCCTTACGAGAATTTCTACGAAGCCCTGGAGAAGCTGAACAAGCCTTCCCAGCTGCAAGACTCTGAGGACAGTCTCTATAACGACTATGTTGATGTGTTCTACAACACAAAACCTTACAAGCACAGAGATGACCGGCTGCTGCAGGCCCTGGTGGACATTCTGAACGAGGACAATTGACTTCAGTGTGTGGCCCCCAGGTGGAAATATTCACACACCTTCCTTCTCCTTCTATTTTGCCAGTGTCTAAAGTGATTGTTTTGTCATTGATTCCTATGCTTACAGCATTTCTTATCTTTTTCTCCCCAAAACTATATGTGTGAAGGGGATAAGCTCAAATAGGAAATCCAACCTCCAGAATCGATCATAGCTCTTTCAGAACATGTCTTCCCTGCCTGCACAAGGGATGTGCTTTCTTCTCTATGGGCCACAGATGACACAGGGTCCTCACTGCACATGGGAATGCCTCCATGAGCCCATTTCATTTCTCCAAAGAAAAGGCAAGTCTGGGCTTTTTAATTGGTTGCAAATAATTAATTTGTGAAAGTCATCTGCAAAGAATGGGTGAGGGGGAAACCTGCTGTGTAGCTTGTTCCCTGTCTTTCCCTGTGGGTCTTTGAATTTGGAAAGCTTCTAGTGAATGAGTTCACAGTTAGACTCACCCCAGGCCTTTCAATTCCCAAACACTACATATTCTGGGAGTGGCAATCTGGGCATCTAGGGTGAAAGCTGGGCTATTTAAATCTAGAAACAAACCTTAAAACCTGCATTATCAGGATACAGTGGTTCTCGAATGTTCTTTGCTTGGTGTGCCACATGGAGGCCCCTGCTGTGTGCTCTGGGCTTCCTCTATTTCTCCGTCTCCTGCAGGTTTTCTGTACCTAGCTCCTTTGTCAGCCACAAATTCAATATTGAGAGGACTCTTCTAAATCACTCTCCCCCAAACAAACTTACACTTGGGACTTGGCAAATTCCTAGCCATAAATTTTTACAGCCAGAATAAACCACTGGTAACCTGGAAAATCAGTGTACTCACAATTCTTCCACCACCAATGAGAGTTTTGATTTTTTCTGAGTTGCGGTCATCAGAACAGGTTGTTCTGGGTCTTTGATATGCAGATGCTCACCGAACCACTTCCAGGCGTCAGATCCCAAGACATAAAGTAGCAGCCCAAAGACCTCATTTCCCCCTCAGGTAGACTGTGTTTAGTGTATTGAATGTTTGAATATGTGACTATTGAAAATATGAAATTTTACATAAAACCTGGTTCTCAGATCCAGCAGTTGGCTGGAGCTGCATAGCTGCTGGTTAGACTTGAGTTTCATGTCCCCCAGGGTACCCTGCTCTGTGCTACTCACAGTATCTTACCCATTGCTGGCCAGTGTCCAGTAGGCATTGGATTTTGCCCACTTCTGCATTAAACAAATGCATACAAAGTGTAAATGCATTAGGATAAAACCACGCTGGGCTTCTTTTAGGCTGGCTCTGTCAATAATAGTTATGAGTTTGTTATAACCTAGTTAATTTAGTTGTATTTATAGGCAGGAGAAAGAGTATTTCAGACTCTGAAAGTACATCTGCAATCTAGTTTGATGTATTCATCTCATCTCACCTCACCTGACACTCACTTGCACTAAGTGTTAACGGCCAACCTCCTGGCTTCCCTCTCCCAATGTGCTCACGAGTCTCCAGTGGTCTACAGCACTGGCCTTCTCCCACTGAGTTGCCGTTTGCAATTCTTCCACCACCTTTGAACTTCTTAAGGCCACTGGTGGCATAGAATTAGTTCACGGAGAGAACTCCAGACTCAACTTTAGAGTCTGTTGCTCCCTCTGGCTTGAAGTATTTCTGGTAAGACAAATTTCCACCCCGTCTTGTACCATTTCTACAATTTGTGCAGAACTAGGCTTTCCAGAGCAAAACCCGTGACACTGAAAGGATTTTCTGCTAAAAGACTTGCAGCATCACTTTGTCCTTGGAGATGTTATGTGTTTGATATGAAGAGCTGGTTAGAAATTTGACTATTGCAACACATCAAAGAGTATTAAAACTGAAAAGAAATAGAGTCATTAACTTTCCTTTAAGAAATTAAAACTAAGGCCCACAAAGGCCAACAAGTGATCTGGAAGAGTTGGAATTAAAACTCATCCTTTTCCCATTCCTAATATAGTGCTAAATGTGTGATGCTCTCTTTATTGTTCTTCCTAATGGCATCTTTTCCCAGTTAAAATCCCAACCATCTCATTGGGTTGCAGCCAAAGGTTCACACTTTGAGAAGCTTTAATATTCCAATAAAATCATGGTTGAATGTTTCCAGCCTGGTGTATATTGTCCAGACATAAGATATTTTTGTCAGTCTTTCTTAGTGCCTGTGTGGATTTTTGTGAAAATGTAAAAGGAAACTTATTTAATATTTCCCTTGGAATTTTAAACTATATTTTCTTTACAGGTATTTATAATGTACCAAGGCTTTTGTCAAACAGAATTTTAAAAGGCATAATAAATTATATAATGGAACCAAAAGTTTTCCTGAGAATAAGAAAGTTTCATCCAATAAAATATTTTTGAAAGGCATGTTCCTCTGTCAATAAGAAAGTGTAATATGTATGTGTTGTGGTATTAAAAGTGACATTTGTCTAGTAGCCTAATACAATGTATAGCTGAGTTTAACATGTGGTCTTAGCATTCTTACAGGAACCCCCACATTATACACTTGATGTATTAACCAGAATATGTAAAATATGCTTATAAATCAGAAGAATAAATGATCTCACTAAGTCAAAAAAGAAAAAAAAGCTCATGTTTTCACCAAAAGCAGGATGTACTTCTTTGACTGTGCATCCCTAATGGGCCATGAAAATGCAGAGTGGACAGTTTCCAGTAAGGAGCTCATTCTTTCTAGGAAAACAGGCTTTCCAGGAGGCATCTCGAAGAGTCAACTTGAACAAGGTTCTGTTTCCTTTCCCCGTATGGCTTAGGACTTCACATGCTTGATAACACCTAACATTGCGTTGACTGAGCCTTGATTGAAACGTTGAGGAAAAATGGCGCAGCTACAGGGACTTACTGCTTGGCAGAGAAAGGATCTGTAAGAGCTCACTGGGTGTGACTTAGGTGACAGGCCAGAGCTCAGCGGCCATGCACTGCACCCTCTCTGGAGATCCTTGTCAGAAGTCTGGGTTCTGAGCCGTGACCTCCTATTAAACCTTCCCTCTCCTGCTTCAAACTTTGATGCCTGGGATTTCCCACCTCCCTTTCAGAATCTCACCTTCCTGCCCAGGGCAGCTGGGTTCTTCCCAGATTCCAGGCCTGTCTCCTCCGTCTCACTCATTCGTGTACACTGGATACTCTCTCAGGAATTCCAGAAGGACTTCTCTGGTGGGCTGTTGTGCTCTCTATACAGAAACCTTCAGAGTGTTCCCATGAGGGTGGATTGAAGACACATCAGTTTTCTTTTTAAAATTAGTTACATATTTAAGGTCCACAGCACGATGTCTGATACACATACACAAGGGCACTTCAAAAAGTTTGTGAAAAATAGAATTAAATAGGGTTTATTTTGGTGTAATACGTTTTTGAAACCCATGCTCACAAGGGGTATTCATAAAACTCGTGGAAATTGCATACATTTTTAAAGTACCCATGAACATAGTGAAGTGATTACTACAGTCAGGCAAATTAACACAGCCAGCCTCCTATTTCCTGTTATACTTCATGGTAAGAGCATCTACACTCCAGGCAGTTAGCAAATTTCCAGTGTATAGTGCAATACTTTTCACCGTAGTCCTCATGCTGGGCATTAACTTTTGAGAATTATTCTTCCTACACACCTGCAACTCTGTACACTTTGATCTACATCGTCCCATTTACCCATTCTGCTTTCTATATGGCTTTCTATAAAACTATTGTATTTATTAGAGAGAGTGAGAGAGAGCAAGCTCACATCCACTGGTTCACTCCCCAAATGCCAACAGAGATCAGGGCTGAATTCAATCCAGGTCCCCCAGATGGGTGGCAGGGACCCAATAACTCGAGCCATCAGCGGACTGATTTTTTTTCCACGTGTGACTGAGACCATGCGGTATCTTTCTTCCTGTTTTTTTCCCCCATAGCAAAATGTCCTCCAGCTTCATCCATCTTGTTGCAAATGGCAAGATCTCCTTTTATAAGGACTATATGTATAAATTTATCTCTCTGTGTGTATATATATATTCATTCCTATAAATATGAATGTGTACAGCCTTAAAAAGGAGACCACATCATATATAAAAATATGTATATATACACAAATATGAATATGTATCTATCTATATATGTGTGCATATATTTATAGATAAAAATGTATATATGTGTATGTATACATATTTCCACAATTTATCCATTCATCCATTGATGGTCTCTGTTTTATTTTGAAGTCCATTCTGAAACTACTGGATTAACCAGGTACACACTATGAGTACAATAAAAAAAAACACACATATCCAAGAATAAACATTAATGCTTAAATACAAATTAAAACACAGAAGGAGGGGAAAATGCCCTTTTAACCAGTTCATTGTTTACAAGGCTTTCATAAGCGCATACGAGATAGTTTGGGTGATTCACTCTCCCCTCTGCCCCTGTGGACAGAGCATACTTTCCTGGGCTATTGCTGTTGAGCTTGGTCATGTGATTTGCTTTGGCCCATGGACTATTAGTGGGCGTGATGCAAGAAGGGGCCTTAAGGGTGCTTGTCCACTTTGCCTTGGTTTTCCAGTGACCCTGTGCTATGAGCAACAGATGCCCAGGGAGCTGCAGCCCCTTCAGCCTGGCTTCCCTGAACAAGTGTATATGGAACAGATCTAAACCCAAAATACATTCTGGAACCAAGCCCAGCCCAGCCAACCCATGAAGCAGAGCCGTCCCAAAAAGTGCAGCCTAAATGAGCTGAACTTGTTGCCTTGCTGACTTGTGCGTATGAGGAGAAGTGGTTGTTGTCAGCCAGCCTTGGGGCAGTTTGTTACACCACCTTTCTGGTCTTGCTCTGCTTTGTGCACACTTTTAGTTTGTAATCACATTCACAGAAATGAATGTCATTGGAGTGTTGCATGGTAGTGTGCACAGTGCCTGTTCTGAACAAGGAAATGCTTCTTGGACAGAATGAATTTTGCAGCAAACATGAAAGAGAAATGAATGGGTTGCTCAAGTTCTCCTACAAGAGAGAAGCAGAATGAAGAGAGGCCACCTGGAAGATCCTGTTCATACCACCAGGCTCCCCAGAGATGGATCAACCCTCGTCATTTATCTGAGCACCCACCCCCTTGGCCCTGGTCATTCTTTGTTAGCATTTACTAAGTTTTCAGGACACAAATGAATGGCCCTGAGCCTGCAGCCATCTTAATATGATGCTATTTGTACTTACAGAAGCCAAAGGTTTCCTCAATTAGACAGGACAAATCATATTGTTGTAGTTATTAAAGGCAAAAAAAAAAAAAGTCTGAACACGTGACAGTCACATGCAGTGGCTAGCAGTGCATGCCCTGAGTCGGCCTTGAGACAGAGCCTGGGCTCTGGCACAGCCCCTCTGTGTGCCCTGGGGCAGCCTCCTTGTACTTGCTGGGCCTTAGTTCCTCATCTGTAGCCATGAAGTCTACATCTTACAGGTTTGCTGTGAGGACTAAATCCAATAATGCACAGAAATCACTTAGTACAGTCCCTGCACATAGTAAACATGAAATGAATGTTAGTTTTCATTACCAGTGAGATGACTGCTTTGATTATTACTGCGTTATGAAAGGAAAATGGGCTTTATAGCCAAAGACATTTGGACGTGCAGCTCTTATCCACAAGCCCAACAAAGGAGAAAATATGAAAATCAATGAAGAATATAGAAATGCTGCAAAATGTCACTGGCTGCTATTGCACTGTCTTGGGAATCATCATGCCAACGCGAACCTCCCTCGCTCAAGGCCACAGGGAATCCATTTAATCACAGTCAATGCGTACTGAGCTGCAGTGACAAGGAAGCACTCAAAGCGACAGCGAGGACTCAGAAAGCAGCTCCCCAAGGCCAAGCGCAGGCCGGCAGTGAGTGAGGAGAAAGGAGTCAATAAATAAAGGAAATGATTTGCTTAATTTTCTCCTCTGTCCAATCGCCTTTTGTGGAAGGTGTTGGGGAACTCATTTTTAAATTATAAAAAAAAGTATAAAGCATTGAGGGATGCTGGGAATAACAATGAAAAATAATGAGCTCTTAACAATAGGCTCGGCAGTGCATTGCTTAATTGAATTCGTGCGAGAATCACAAAACAAATGTGGAATATTATTGTCCTTATTTTGTATATTAAAGCATGGAGGCACTGAGAGAGGCCTTGCTTTGTTCAAGGGTCCACTGTAGATAGTACGGTTGAGATTTTAACCTGGCAGTTTCTAGAACCAAACCTATGCTTTATGTTATTAAGATCCAGAAAGCAACATCACATTTTAAAAGATGTTTATCACATGGGAAATGAGTACTGTGTGTATTTTACACTACCTATTCTTTTCTGCTTTTTGAAATAATCACAAAAATAGTTTTTATTAATTAAACATCTACAATATAATATGCACCTAATTCTATATTGTCACAAAGATGATATCATTCCTGAAAACAAGATGTTCTATTTCTATTTTTGAGTTATCCTTCAAATGAAGTGTTTTTACACACGTGAAAAGGGAGAAAAGTTAAATCACTTGTCCAAGGTCACACAGCAAAGCCAGGATTTTAAAAACTGGCCTTTCTCACCCCAATTTATCACAATTACACTTTTTAGCTTGACTTCTAAATTCTGAAAACTGACACCTTAGTAGGCAACTGCATATTTCTAGGAACATCTAGATAGACTTTACACTGCTCCTTTAATTCAAATTTTGGGAACGCCAGTAAGTTTAAAAGTCAGAGTTGGAAATCCCAATAAACTTAAAAGCCAGAGAAGCAGTTGTCCTTGTACTCATCACTCCCTGATCTCCGCTGAAATAAAGCAAAGCCCTAGGGGTGCAACAGACCAAAGAGTAGCTCAGGCACCCCTTGGACCAGGAGTCAGCACCATAGGAGCTTACACAGAGCCCACACCCAGGGCTGCAAAAACATCGTGGGAACCAGAGCACTGACTCCAGGACCACGGATTGCACTGAGCCATCTAAATACCCTCTCCACTCCTTGGCCTCCCTGTCTTGATGCTACTGTGCCTTCCTATTTGTTAACTTCTTAAAATATATTCTTCAGCATATTGGTCAGTGGTGTGTGGGTGAGCTTACAAAGGACTCCCTGGTGTTGCACACTTATTTCTGGAAAAGCTGGCTTTTTGCACATCCTCCTTGTAGGACTTCTCGGAGGGTCCTTCAGGGTGATGGTGCCTTCCCCAGTGTCCTCCCCATCAGAATCCCTCCTTCCTGCAGCCTCTTTCAGGATTAGCATTTGCTCAACTCATGTGGGAAGGCATTATCTTCCTCCAAACAATCTCCAGTGAACAATTCCCCGGCTTGATTCTGGCTCTCTCGGAAGCCAGCCTTATGAATACCACTTGCCTGATGATTTCTGAGAGCTACAGCTCATGCCTGTACCTTGCCTCAGTAGAAAGCAGGGCAGCATCAGTCAGCTGACAAAACAGGGTGTCAAGTGCATTCCAGGCGGCGGGCGCAGCACAAAGCAGAGTTCATCAGCAGTGGTGTGAGGAGCTGGAACTGAGATTCATGAAGGCAGACAGCACAGACGAGGGAGGAAGAAGGGACACATGGGTCCTGCATGCCCCTAGCAGAGTGGCCATTGTGGAGGAGA